ATATATATATAAAGTACTATTTTTTTTTAATGTTAACTGTGTAAATACACAAATTTTGAATGTCAAGTATCTAAATCCTCCAAATCATAAATTCTTTACAAAAAAAAAAGATCAATCCTCTGTTCTAGAGCCACAGAGCGCCGGCTTCCTTCAAGTTCGGAACAAGCTCCCCTGAAATATGCGCCGCCATTAGATGATCCAATCCCCCGAGAAGCCTCCCCCCAATAAAAACCACCGGCAAAGTCACCGGAAACCCTCTCTGCTCATCTTCGGTGGGCCCCATCTCGCCGAGTTCGGCCCTCAACGCCGTCTCCTCTGCTTCTCCGACGATCTCCCACACTGCCGGACTAACCCCCAGTCCCTGAAGCAGCCGCTTCACAACGTGTCCCATACAGCAACCTCGCCGGGCAATCACCACCACCGGTGTCTCCTCCACCGCCGTCTTTACGCCGCCGCCGGAGGAAGAAGATGATGACGGCGAAGAGGGAAAAGCCGCTCGCTGCATTTGTTGCATTGAGGTTTATTCGGTCGCATAGAAATGGTGGAAGAGAAGGGCTTGCGGGATCGGCGTATATAAAGGGAGCAGGATGGGGGGGAGGGTGACGTCATTTCGGGGAGTCTGACCTGGGCGGCAGTTAGGCCGTGTGGCTCCAGCCAAGGTGATGACGCGGATGCGCGTGTTTTGTCGTTGAGTGGGGCCCAGAGGGTGACGTCATGGAGTGGTATAAGATGCTGGAACAGTTTAGTGGTTGCACTTGGTCGCAGGGGCAGGTGCTCCGTCGCAAATTAGTTTAATGGGATTGGACATACTGACCCACATGAATTCCATGAGAAATCATCATCATCATCATCATCATCATCATCATCATCATTCCGGAGATTCATGACCATGTCGTCTAATTTTTATTCATAAAATTTAGGAGATTATATGCATATTATAAATTTTGTATTAATTTATATAGCTAATATTTTAAATTTATAATTATTTATAAAAACTATCACTAACTTTAATTTATCTAAAATACAATGCATATTTTCTTGTATAAATATTAGTGTGATTCATGTGACATTTTGGAGTACTAGCGGCGGTAGAGAAATATAAAGTTTAATGTCTTAATGTTAAGTTGTACGAAGATCCAGCACACAAATAGATATAAAAGATGGTATATTATTCATATGAGGCCAATATTGTTATGTAGAAAACCCAATGAAAATAGAGGAAACTCATGAGGTCGAATCGAGTTTGAATGAATCTACTGGTATTTACAGTTGATTAAAAATGAGGTCATTCCTTGAAAAAAGGCCTTGCTTTAATGTAATAAATATGCATCATTCATAATGTGTTACATTGCGAGGTAACAATTACTATTGACTTGTTCGTTTGGTCGGGAGGACCATAGTCGATAGGCGACGGATGTCAGAAAGAACATTATATAGCGAAGGAGGTTGGAAGGATCGTAGTCAGCAGACGACGAAGGTCGGAATGACTATTGGCTGGCGACGGAGGTCGGAAGGACCGTTGTCCAGCAATCGAGGATAGAAGGACCGTAGTCGACGGCTGGCGAAAGTCGGAAGGACTGTTATCTAGTTACAGAGGTTAGAATGAGCATAGTTGGCGGGCGACCAAGTTCAGAAGAATCGTACTCGACAGGCGATAGTGGTCGAAAAGACTACTGTCTAGTGAATGAGGTTAGTAGGACTATTGATGGGCGGAAATCCAATATCAGGTAGAAATCTGGCGATGGATGGAAGTCAGACATAGGGTAGAAGTCCGTCGAAAGTCCAACGACAAACAGAAGTCCGACGAAAGTCCAACGACAAACAGAAGTCAGACGACGGGTTAAAGTTTAGCATCAGGGAGAAGTCTGGCGAAAGTACGGCGACAGGCAGAAGCCTGGTGACAGACGGAAGTTTGGTGTCGGTAGAAGTCTGATGAAAGTCCGGCGACGAGCAGAAGTGCTACGTCGAGTAAAAATCCGACGTCAAGTAGGAGTCTGGTGACAGACGGAAGTCCGCCGAAAGTCGGGCGACAGGGAGAAGTCCGACGATGAGAGAAAGTATGACGTCGGGTAGAAATTTAAAGATGGGCAGAAGTTCCGCATTTGGGAGAAGTCTGATGATGGACAGAAGTCCAGCAACTGGTGGAAGTTCGATGTCGAGTAGAAGTCTAACAGAAGTCCGGTGACGAGCAGAAGTACGACAACTGGTAGAAGTCCGATGACGGGTGGAAGTCCGACGTATGGTAGAAATCCTGAGGCAAGCGTAAGTCCGACATCGGATATAAGTTTGATGAAAGTCCGACGATAGGTAGAAATTTGGAGATTGGCGAAAGTCCGGCGTCAGCTAGAAATTTGGCGACGGGTGGAAGTCCGACGACCCGCATCAATCGTCGGTGGCCAGGAGGTGATCGAGAATTAGTTTGGTGGCAAGAGAACTCTTCCTTTTTTTCCTTCTCTTCTTGCTTGGGCCTCTTTCCTCCTCCCTTCTCAATGAAGAATGAGAGGTTTATTTATAGTTTTATGAGAGCGGCATGGCGAGTAAATAAGAGGAAGACCACGGATAAGTAAGGAGTTGTTTGAATTGATGGCTGATATCAGCTCCTTTGATCATAGACTATTTATGGAATATTTGAGTGTCTTAATGATGTCAAAATTCAACGATTTTGGGCTCGTTGGATTCATCTCGTCGAGCCGCTCGATTCCACTATAAGAATGTCGTGTTTGGAAACCATTTCTAATCCAAACTATGGTTTGAACCTTCCAAATATGCTTTGAATCTTCGATTTGAACCCATTTGGGCTCGGATTGAGTCGAAGTTGTTGTCTTTGGGTTTGTATTTCTAAGACGTTCGATTCAACCATAAATTTGCTGAAATCGAAGTTCAAATAGTCCTAGATTTAATTTCAAAAGTTTCCAACTTGATTTCGCCTTCAGATTTGCGCCTAATCAAGAAAAATTTTTGATGATATATTAATTCATATATTAGAAATATATAAATAAACATAAAAGTTTTGTGCTATATATAAAATAAAAAGGATTTTTATAATAAATATGTAAAGATCTCTCTAATTTTAAATTTTTAAGATTACAAAAAAATTAAATAATTTGTTGCAGTACTCTATTTAGATTTTCATATTTTAAATTTACATGAAATGCATTATTCCTTAATAAATTAATTTATTTTGGAATATCCTAAAACAAGAAGAGGTGGATGTGAAAAATGAAAAAATGACTATCAATTTATTGATTTAAAATATATCAAATAACTAGCTGAAATTATTTTAATTTAAATATAATTTAATTAAAAAAGCAGTAATTATTACATGAAAAATATACCAAGAGATTAGAATTATTCCACCTAAAAACAAAGTTTATTCCAAATAAACAAATTGAATTTGCCGGCCTATATTTATATATGTATATATCCATTTCTGTCATTTTCAAATAGCCCCCCAGAGTCTCATAAATTTCAGGAACAAATATTTTGCTGATTATTTACAGCTCATTCATGACGCAATGAAAGGTGAACTTCTAACTTCTATGTCATAATATTTTATATTTTTATTGGTATGTTTTCTAGCTTTTATGTCTTTATGTAATATTACAACAAATGACAAATGTTTAGTTTGAGATAAATTTTTTATTATTTTTTTAGTAAATTTTTTTCAACTAAAAATTTTTATACTAAAAAACTGTCTTAAAAATAATAGAAAAATAGTACCAAACAAAATCTAAATAAAAAATCAATAAGATAATTATTGTGTATGAATATAAAATATTTATTTTATACATTATTTGATACAATTTTTCCACCAAAAAGGCCACCTTTATAGATTTTTTTTGCTGTTTTAATTTCAACATTTTAATATTTATTATTTTATTTTGTATTTAAAATTAAATATATTATAATTACATTAATATTCTTCTCCTTTTGATTTTCTTTGAGTGTGAATGCTTCAAATTTTATGACATTTTCTCTACTCTTTTTTCTAAATGTGTGTAGTAGAATTTGAACCATTTTAGAAATTTTGTAAAGTTTTACTTGTACCATATGAACCTCTCAAATTTGAATGTAAACTTGAATTATGGAGGTCAACTTTAAAGTCGAAATGCTTTTGTTTGGGCAGATCTAAAGCTGAATATATGAAGTATAATTTTAGTAATAATATTTTATTTGATAAAAATATGAAATTAAAAGAAATTTAATAAAAAGTAAGCTATATAAATTTTAACTATTTTTAATAAATTTATACTTAAAATCCTAAATGCTAATATATTTTAAGTGCAATTTTTATTAATAACGAATTGGCTCGCTAGATAACGAATCAAGTCAAAGCTAGCTCGAGCTTGCCTCGTTAGCTCATCGAGGTCGGCTCATGAGCTATTTATCAAATCAAGCTCGAGCTTACTCATCAATCAACTTGACACACTTATAGCCCTAATTAAACCCTAAACTAGATAAAAACTAATAAAATATAAAACTCATATTCGATACAAAAAAATAAATTAAAAAAAAAAAACTTAATAATTCAGTTCTCAAATTTATTTTGATTCAATTATGACTACATCAACTCATGAAATACTTACTAATTTCAATAATATAATTGAAAATTAATGGCTCGAATTACAAATGGATAACCTTTGGGAGGATCAAATATAAAATTCAACTCTAATATAAGATAATTAAAGACAAAGAATAAGAAGAAGACATGGAGGAAAAAACTCCAGGATTTTGGATGGTTGGCTGACGTTGTGATCGATGCAATATTGTTATACAGAATTTCTATTTATTTTATTGAAGATGATGTAACCACGTCATGTTTGCTTGCAAAATGGAAAATTAATATATATTAGGTTAGTTTTCGTTTTCCCAAGTTGCTTCAGGTTGGTAACATCTTACGTAAATGGTTGGGCCCTCTATTGGCATTTCATCGAACACTTGGGCTGCATAGCTTCAGGAATCTGAGCGAGCGTGGATTTGAATAAGGGAATAGATGCGATTCCTTTATGAAGCAAATACTTCAGGAATCTCGATCACCACCAGATTCAAAGTATGCAGTGCTGGCCACTGAGAGTGGAAGCCCGCTCTTTCAAAGCCTGCAACATCGTTCAGAGAAAGGAACTTCCATAAGGGCGGCTAGTTGCACTGTAAGAGACAGATATTGGAGATTGGAGATGAGCTTATGGGGCAGAAGGTGATCGCGTGTGAAGATCTGATGAAGACAGGCGAAGTCCAGCATAATTAATCGGACCAACAAAAGCAGATTTAATTGTGTGGAGATCTCTGTTGGCGACGTGGAATCGAGGAGGATCGACGAATCTCATGGTGGAGGAAGAGGACACGAAAGTAGCTGGGCTTGCCGACTTGCGTTGATTTGAGCGTAATAATTAATTAATTTAAAAAAAAAAAAAAAACTTAGGTTTCTAGAGAAACTTTCCAGCAATGTGGTGAATCACGTGGGTTTTGCGGTTCTGGATTAAGAAGATGCAGGATGGGATTTTAGAAGTCAGAGATGTGCCTTGGGATGTAGGTTTTTTTTTTCAAATAATTGTG